TTATCATTAATGATGTAAGTAAACATGAGGCACTTTTGGTCAGATATCTTGCTGCAAGTAGGATTATAAGAATAATAAAAAAAATAAGCCAAAGATTACTCACAAAGCTCTCTCTGCATCAGGGACAACATTTACATGTCAAGCAATCAGTAAAACATTCAGTATGGTCAGGTAAAACATGAAAAGTATCACTATTTAAGAAATCACATGTGGAACCGTGTGTTAAGTTTGCTAAGGAGCATTTATGTAAACCAGATAACTACTGGAAGGATATTTTTTTTAAGTCTAATGAAACCAAGATAGACTTCTTTGGTCACAATTCACATCATTATGTTTAGAGGAAAAAGAATGAAAAATTCAAACCAGAGAACACCATTTCAACTGAAGCATGAAAGCAACAATGTAATGGTATAGAACTGTTTTTCATCACATGGTACAGGACATATTTAGATAAACAATGACTGGAGCCACATATTGAACAAACCAGGGGGCCACTCAATTATGCACAGATTATGTGGATAAGTGGGGAAGAATAACAAGACTTGAACAGGTTAAGATTGTAGAGATCAGGAAAACGTCCTCTTAGGAGTCGGTTCCACAGAACAATGGTCTGTGGGAAGAAGCTGCTCAAGTGGAACTTACTTCTCACCAATGGAATATGGAGAGAATGTGGATGGATTGCTACAATGCACATAACATGGCAGGTCCTAGCTGTAAGAATTAGAACTGGTGGAATTAAGGAATGTTATTCATCTGAGCACTTTCTATGGAAGTAGTAACAGAGTAGTGAGAAGCTTGCTACATCTCATCTGTGAGAGATGGGTTGCAAGGTGGAAAATAATTTAACACTTTTGGGCTCTATTGAGACTGGAAAGTGAGGGCTGGGCAGTTTCTGCCTAAATATAACAGTACTACTAAATTTTAGGTCTGATCTGGGACTTGTAAAGGTAGAGGATAGCACAAGGAGTCAGGTACTTGCTAGAGTGATACAGGGAACTGACCATTTTTCCTGCATCTTTAGCATCTATTGCTAAAGATGCAGGAAAAATAAAGTTCCACATAAGTTTTGGGTTGAGTTTGAGGCCTAATAGTTACACAAGGCCACTCTGAGAGAACATCCATTCATTGTGGGTGGTGGTAGTACAGGGTCCAATTGGCAATGATGGAATGTAACTAGTTTTGTTTTCAAGGCAATGAATGAAACCGGCCAATTTCCCCCCCCCCACTGAGATGTTAGAGCTAAATCAGATGAGAGATCAGCTGCCACTCTCTGGTCATCATGCATTTTGGAAGTGCACCCATATATCGTCATATCATCAGCATGGATATTCACAAATCATCAGGATATATTCTTAAGCAGATCATTTATGTAAAGATCTCCACTTGAAGACAAAAAACATGCAAATGAAGATAATAATAATAATAACGTTATAAGGAACTGGACATACTTAGCGATCAACTGTTTGTTTTATGACATTATCAACTTATTGGGACATTTAAAGCCGAACGATGGATTGTATGTACGAGCTCCATTTGAGGTCTGAGTTAAGATAAAGGCCCAATAGTCACGGAAGTCATGGGGCCTCCCTGAGGGAACATTCGTTCAGAGTCCAATCGGTGATAATGGATTATAACTAGTTTGTTTTTTGAGACGTCGAATGTAATCAACCAGTTTTCCCCCACTGAGATGTTAGAGCAAGATCGGAGGAGAGATCAGCTGCCAGTCTCTGGTCATCACAGGTTTTGGAGGTGCACCCATATATTGTTGCATCATCAGCATAGATATTCACAAATGATCGGAGTCTACTCTAAGGAAGATCATTTATATAAAGTAAAAAGAAAGTCTGTCCAAGTGACACACTGAAAGACACCTGCATTAATTGCTAGGGTCCTAGAAGACTGGCCGTTAACTACCTTCAGGGATCTACTTGTTAGGAAGAACTTTCTTATTAAGAAGAGTCTTACATTAGTTTTAACCCATTAGCATTCAACCCACCCCATAAATATCAGCTCTCAATGTTCAACCTGCCCCATGTATGCACTGCCATATGACGACATCATCACAAATAATGCAGGAAATCATGTAAAGAGTGAGACATTGAAAGCTGATATTTATGGAATGGGTTTGAACATGTTGAATGCTAATGGTGTAACATTTTAAAAATGAAACACAATAGAGTATTTCAGCAGAACAATGATCTTAAATATACTGCCAATGCAACCAAACATTGGTTTAAAAAAAAAAAAAAAAAAAAAAATATCAACCTTTTAGAGTGACCCAGTCAGGCCCAAACCTGAACCGAAATGAAAATTTGTGTTCATGCTCATCAACCTAGTAATTTGCATGAACAGATGATTTGTCATGAAAAGCACACTAAACAAGTTTTCAAAGCTGATAGCTATTTATTGGAAACAACTGGAGGTTTTCATTACAAACCATAGCTATTAAATTATTATACACTGATTTTGCATTGTGTCTGGTAATGTATACCTTTTTGTTCCATTTTTTTTTAAATAGCTTTTATAATTCTATTTGGTGAAATGTTTGCTTATATTTACTACTCTCAAGATAAAACTTATATCCTGTTTAATCTTTAGGTAAATACCATGTCTGGGCAAATAATGCAATAAACTAGTGTATTGTGACATGTATTGAATATTTATTTTCCCCGCTCTATAGGCTACCATAGAGCCTGAAAGCTAAAAGGAAATGACTGCCAAATTTTCAAAATGAATAAGATATTTAATAGAGAGACAAACCCAGAGAAAAATGACAATGACATTTTCTTTGGGAAAAAAACAGGATAAATTAACTGAAAGTATAACACCCGAGAGAATTCCAAAGTTTAAATACTTTAAAGTTCAAAACAAACTTAAATATCTCAATTTTTTGCTAAAAATAATGACACCAAGATTAGATGTTAATGATGATGATAAAATATCTTTGCATTTAGTTTTAAAATTAATTTTAACTTTAGTATCAAATGAAAATCAAATGCAATCAGAATTCAAGTTTTAATTGAAACTAAAAGATTAAAAAAATGTTGAATTTCCTTTTTTTAAAAATCAGTATCACCCCAAGCAAGGTAGTAAGCCCACTAAGACACAGGGGTTATAGAGTGTGGAAGAATTAGTAACAGAAACGTTAATAATGAGCGGAAAGAGAAAAGAGTAATCAGAAGAACAGTAGATATCAATTGACATTGCATTTAAATTTTTGCAGATTAAAGTTGGCTTGAAAGCATGGAACCAGAAGAGAGTTCCACAAGCAAGAAGTGTGAGGAAAGAAATTGTTAGCAAAGAATTTAGTTACATCTAGCCAGCTCAACTGTAAATTGATAACATTACGACGCTAGTCTAGTAATGCACTTAAATTAAAAAAATGTACTATAGGAAAGAGTTCATCCAAACAATTACTATGAAACTATTTATAGAAAATTTCATTTTTTTTTTTCTTTAATGTAGTTTAAAAGTAATTAAAAATAGTAAAGAAAGACAATAAAGAACAAAATAAATTTAATGTGCAGATAGGGTGATAGATAACAGCTTGAAATAAGAAACCAGATAGCAGAGTTCAAATTCCAGTTTGCTTCATTACATTCACTTATGTGCAACTACCCTTGGGAAAAGTGTGAATCCATCTCTTATCTCCTGCCTGCTATAGGTTAAATAATAGGATAGACTGGGTCCTATAGTCTTGAGTGGCAACCAGTCAAGTACAGTAAGTAACATCAGCCTACAGAAGCAATTCTTCTACCAAGTTAATCATGCATTGAAAAAAAAGACATGATTACCCAAGCATGCACCATGCATGGCACTTAAGGATAGAATGACATTACATAAAGAAAGATTTCCCCCCACCCCCAAAATTCAATATGGTAATTAAACTTGTAAAAATAATGAAACCCAAGAAGTGATTTCATTTTAGTTATCTCTTCTTTAAGACCAAGTATTTAATTTCTATCATTCCTAATGTAAGAATTATACAGAAGAATGATGTGAAGAAAATATTTCTTCCAAATATTGGAGGGAGAAAGCATGCAAGTGGTATTAAAGACAAATAGATCATTTGTTTAATTAAATAAATAAAATAAAAATGCTTTTCAATAATTGTATTTATTTATTCAAATAGATTTTTTTGTCTTCGAATGTATCAAACATCTGATTTATACAAATAACTTCATGTATAATGAAGAACAAAAAAAACTTTAATTCTGTAAGCATAAAGATTCATATCTAATCAATAAAAATGTTCCTTTTGCTGTGAGAAATTCTCTCACACATCAATTTTCAGATCTCTCATCAATGTAAACACTGCAAAATATCAAATGAGAGTCAAACGTTAAAAAAGGTTTTGTATGTAATTTTTTTTAAAAATTGATTTGGATAGAGCTACAAACTTGAACTCCAGTTGTTTGAAGAAAAAATAAATAAAAAATTAAATTAAAAAAAATATATATAAAATCTTCATTTTCTAAATATTAACCCATTTTATCAAATCCAGTTAACCAAGGCTACAAAGAAAATAAAAATAACTGTATAGCATTGATCAACATTAGTCTTGACCAGAGATCATTCGTACAGATGAAAAATTAAAGAGAAAACAGGAAAGGAAAGGATTAAAAAAAAAAAAACTCTTTGAAACTACATGATCAACAAGAGCTTATCAAAAATAAGGGAAGTAAACATTGACTAACAAAATAAAATTTGAAATCTTAATCACAAGTGCAGTCAGAATAAATATTTGCTCAGCTGTCACATGATATCAGTGAAATAAGTTTACAACAAAAGGTGTTGAGATGTCAAACTTTACAGAATAGTGAGTTAAGATAAAAATGTTTATAATATTTTAACCGAACTAGTCATTAAAAAAGAATGACTACCCAACAGATTGAAAGTAAATATTAAAATCGTTTGAATGCAGCAGATTGTCACTCAATGTAGATTTCCCAGTTTATAATTGATTTAAGTTCTTGATATAATATTTGCCACCTCAAACTTTATGACACAATTGGTTTGACGGTTTCCAATATGTCAAGTCCAGTATTCCAAGGGACAACTTTGGCTTTCAAAGAAGAGTCTTTATTTTTTTGCATGTGTTTTATCTTCTTCCACAAAGAAAAGTCTGTTCTGGGGAATACAAAGTCATTTGCTGAAAGAGTGAGACAAGGACAGAGATCATAGGTTCCATCCCCTACATAGGCAATGTGGGAGAAAGTGACTCCTCCTTTTTGTCGTTGTTTCAAGTAATCCTGCAAGATGCTCCCTTTGCACAAATTAGTGGTACTCAAAGGACACCAGTCTTGATAGTGGTAGCACTGCACTCGTAGACAGCCAGAAGAATCAAATTCTGCTGGGTTAGTGAAAGTAGCAGCAAACAAGTCATCTAGTGCAGCATTTTGAAGAATCTGTTTGATGAACACAGAGTTTGCATCTGAGATAATGATCAGCTCAACATTGTCTCGGTTCATGAACTGCAGCAAATCCTTCATTCCGGATATAAATGGAATCTCATTCATACACTTGAGGATTTGCTCGGGGGTAATTCCCACCTTGTGGAGGTGTTCAAAGACAGCCCCCATATAGTAGACCCAGCATTGGCTGTTGTAGCTCTCCTTGATCTCTGCAGGGATTGGTGGCACCAGTTTCGTCACATAATGGTCACTGTTGGCATCAATGATAGAATGATCAAAATCAAACACAAGCAGCAAACTCTTTGTCATCTAAAAGAGAGAGAGAGAAAGGTAAGGAAATATTTCTCAAATTAGAAAATCCAAAAGAAACAGTAGACTAAAACAGAAATAGAGGCATGTTGATCTAGTAAAGAATTAAGAAACAGAAACAAAGTAAGAGGATCTTTTCAGATCCAGAAATGTATTTTCCCCCCCCAACATAACCCAGTGGCAGATCTACAATTTTGGGACCCTGAAGCTTGAACAGATATGAGATCCTCTTTGTAACTAGCAAGCTCAACAAGCCCATACAGCTAAGGGTTCAGGAACTGCCCCAAGAAAATTTGAATAATTAGGAGAATTTTGAGACCATATGAAATGGGTATTAGAGCATAGTCTAAGGCCAACATTAGCTACTTCAACCCATTGGCTTATGATTTTATCACTAAAATGGCCATATTTTAGTAAAAAGAAAACAAAAATGAAAACAAAAAAACAACATTGATTTTGTTGAAAAATTCACTCTGATATTAGAGGCCCTGAAACTTAAACTTAATTAGTTTGATAGTAGATCTGCCACTGACATAACCCATTTAGAGACTTACCAACATTATATTATAGATATAATTGACTTATTCTATCAAGGGGGTGTGCATTAAATTTCTGACCACTGTAAAATGCAAATTTTACACATTTTAAATCCAAAATTATAAAATTTTATGGTTAAATTAGATATCCCCTTCTATATTTAGTGCAGAAAATGACCAAAGTTAAATAGGAGAGTGATGAAGTAATAGTAAAGTCAGTGGGCAACAAAAAGAAAAGACAAAACCATGTCTATGTGTATCAGGTTCAAATACAATTAATTTATTGTCATTTCATTTTTTACCTCCCTAACAGAACTTTCTAAAGTTTTCATATTCTTCAAAATCTTACTCATGATGACAAAGGTCCTTATATATATATATATATATATATATATATATATATATATATATTTATATATATTTTTTTATACCCAGAAGTATATTTGTCCGATTTCTTTTTTGAATTTGTAGGTCAGATGAATTAGATCGTGATTATGATTCCAATGTAATAAATTATAACCATGGAATATTAGTGTTTATTTTTTTTTTTATATATATATATATATATATATATATATATATATATATATATATATATATATATATATATATATATATATATATATATATATATATATATATATATATAATTCCAAAGCTTAATTCAGCCTATGACCACATCATGTTGAAACATACAATTACCAAAGTTAAGTAACATCAAGCCTGGTCAGTTGTATAGATGGGTGACTGTTTGGGAATACCAGATGCTGTAAGTTTGAATGTGCAGGTGGTGTAATGGCTAATGGCTCAGAATTGTTAATCAGAAAACCAAGTTCCAATTCCTATTAGGTTCATTAACTTACATGCAAATATCCTTGGGAAAGGTATGAATCCACATCTTCTCCTCCATTATGAGTTAATTAGTAAGACTTGTATCACTAAACCATTATTATCTAAAACCAATCTCTTACAATCTAAACATATTTCCTGGCTTTAAATAATCTACAAAGGATTGATTAACCATAGAAAATGAATCAACCAAAGACTAATTCTGTTATTAATTACAACTCATGAGAAAGAGGGGGTTTGTTAGTGCCATTTTTTATAGTAAAGTAAATCCTTACTAATGAGAGGTTAAGAGCCAAATAATCAGTCACTCAAATATCTTATCATCTTGAGAGGAAAACAGTGACATCTTTTAGTAACCAACTTAAAAATACACACTAAATGTATGAATTAACATTGATTGTCAAACACAAAATAACTTGTGGTTGGCAGTTTATATTATGATGCTAACAAGTTATCTTGTGCTTGGAATTTTCTGATACATTTTCATCTGCAGGCACCAACAACAAATTTATTTACAGTAATATTTTAAGTGTGAAAACTATGTTGTTTCAGTTGAAGCTATAAATAACCTCAAATTTTTTGGCCTAAGCTGGTTATTATAAAGTTGGCATTTGAAATCAGATTTTGTAATTGACTGCTGATAGTCAACATGTTAAATACTAATAACTATAATTGGCACAAGTGCCATTTCAAAAAAAAAAAAAAAAATTAATCTTATTAAATTCATATGCTAAGTAATCAATACAAAAGGTTCTTGTCTTTTCACGACAGAAAAAACAAAAAGAACAAAAAATCTCACAGACCTGAAAGTATTTTACCAATACTTCATGCACAAAGGAAAAAAAAAAAAATGAACTTATCATAAAAAAGTTAAAGATCATTACAGATAAAATAATTCACTTTAGTAAATTATCTTTGAAGAAAAAAAGATGTAAATTAAACGAAAAATTAAAAAAAAAAAACACTTAATAATTAACAATAATTAAACAAAGAAAAAATAGCTAATATTCACAATGATCAACTCGGAAAGAGAGATCACCATGTTTGACGAGATGTGATGAAGGAATTTAATTTTCTGATACACAAATAAAAATTGGTGCCATTTATACCAAACTATCACCAGCTAAGACTTCTCATGATTGCAAACAGTTTTTAAAAAAAATCACTTTTACTTTAAATTTTTGTTCATTAAATTAATGAATTTCTTCTAATTTTTAAGAGAAAGTCTTCAACTAAAACAATGTACCATATTTACCAGCCTATTGGATGCAGATTTTTCACCAAAAAATGTACCAAAAGATTACCATACATCCAATACAGCAATATCATGTATGAGAGAGACATGAAGACCACGAAAAAGTTAACTAAATGTACTAAACTTCTTTTCCAAAAAATGTTTTAGTAACTAAACCATACCTCACTTCTATTAAAACAAGTACCAGTAGTATAATTTGTGCTAATACAATAAGTGTTTATTCATGGTTAGTGAGAATGTCACTTAAAGGTAAGATTATAATTTCAATTTTTTGGATTGTGATGTGTGCATTTTTTTTCCTACATCTGGGGGTATTCAACAGGCCGTCAGATTCAAACCCTAAAAGTAAAATTCATGTCAACAGGAACCAAATGGTTCAAGTTAATGTTGAAATTTGTTATTACATATATTATTAGATAAAGGTTTTAAGCCAAATGTGATTTGCAGTGTCAAACAGATTAAAAAAACAATAACCATGAGCAAAGATTCTTTTCTGTATACAGCAAGATATAATGATGAATTAAAAGATTACTAATGAAAAAAAAAAGATTTAAATGCCACATACTGTCTTGAAATCAAATAGTGTGTATTTTTCCAAGATAAATATTGAATATTTCAGGTATACTTATAGCTAAAAAGGAATTTAATCTTAGTTTTTACCTCACATTAACAACAATGGAATTTTAAAAATTCAATGGTCAAATATATAATGTCCAATAACAAATGGTTTATAGAATAAATTTATATTTATTTTAACTTCAAGATGACCATTTCTTTTCCTTTATTCACATGATTGTTGAATTTAGTTATTTTAATCTTTTAATAGAAAGCCTTTCCCTACTCCAACATTAAAATCATGTATACTGTACCTCAAACAGAAAAGAAAGGGTATGAAAAGTTATAAAAGTTTTGTTCCAGCTTAATCATTGAATACTTTAACAAATGAATACAAGGTCTGTTCAGAACATATTGAATACATTTGAATACCTTCAGAACCTGCTGCATGGCCTTCATATAAACTGGCAACCAATCAAAAGGGACCTAACTGCACATGCATGAACAGACTTTCCCATGACTTTATGCAGTTAGCAGAGACCACCAAGTAAGATTGTGTGTCCAACATACAATAACCAAGCAATTCCCTATGATTCTAGTTATTGTCATTAAAAAAAGTTTTCAAATAATGTATGAAATTACTTTCACTGCTGTGGACATAGTTATACACCCTCAGGAAATTTACATGCCCTGCTGTTGATATATATTCAGTTTCAAGGCACCTAGAAATGCCAGTTCTTAGTCTTTGTGTTAACCAGTGCTTAGTGATACTTCCAAATCAGCATCAACATATCATAACAAACAATACAACCTGTTTTGTGACATATATTTATTGTGCAATCAGGGTGTCGAGTAGCTTAGTTTGTACTGGAGATTATCCAGTCAAAAACAAAATGACAGTTCCCATGAGAAAACACCATCAACATCTTTAGAATAATTTCCAGCAAATAACAATTTCTTATTGCTTCTCCAAAATGAGCCTGCACAGCCAGGCAACAAGGCTATAACAATACAGCAGTGAAAATGTCAAGAAGAATGCAATGAGGCAATTGGTGGCAATCTTGAAAGAAAACTTAAACTATATTGAAAAGTAAAAATGGACACAGAGATAAGTGTGTAAGGTCCCAAAAGGAGTACTTTGAAGAGGACTTGTCATGGCCCATTGGTACTTAGATTCTTTAACTCAAACGTGTTAACGTCAACATCTACCACTCATATGATAAAAACAAACCTTAATTTTGTTCAGATCTGCACACCCACTTCTGGAATACTGTCTGAAAGTATCAGGTTCAGAAACCATCTTTTCTGATCAATCAAAAATGGTCCACGCAGTTTTTTACAGCAATAATTTCTGAACCACTGACTCACTATAAAGCCAACACTGATTTCACCCAAAGAAGTAGATCTGACTCAGCTGGCATTAATGACAGTCCCCAACCAGGCAATCTGTAATGGAGAATCCAGTACCAATAAACCTACGAAACAAAATAGCAGAGTATCCTGTGTCTGAGCTGATGTGTAATGAATATAACCAGGAGTGAGTTAGAAGTAGGGTTTGATAACGGCTGACTCATACCATAACCTGAGGAGGAGCTTGAACCTTCCAAAGGTCTAGTTCCACTGATGGCTGTTATCTAAGAGAGCAAGAAAAAGGTACGCCCTGTAATGGATTACAGAGATTTAAACGAGTACATAGACACATTAAAGGCAAGTGCGGATGTCTGTGTGGACAAGCTATTTTGGCAATTGACAGACAATAGCAGATTCAACTTTAAATTAATTCCCAAATTTGATGGATCAACATTCAGTGATTAAATGGATGGAGAAGCTAGAAGTCATTTGCAGGCTATGTGGAGGAAAATGTCTGGAGTACATGATCCCTTTGAGACTTGCAGGCAGAGCATTCACAGTCTACCATCAGCTGCATTACGAAGCAAAATCCGACTGACCAGATAATGACTGCTTTAGTTACAGTCTTTGCTACAGATCCATTCATGGCATATGAACAACTCATTGAATGGCAACTGCAGTAAGGCAAATCCATGGATGTATACCTGGATGAATTGCACATTCTTGTCAGATTGGAGAGCACTCTCAACATGTGGAAAACCACTCAAGTCGAACCCACAATCAGTAGTGATACCAAAATGCTTCCATCAATGGTGGAGATGACTTCAACCAACAACAAAATCAACAAAAACATGCATATTAAGATGATATGTGGGATAGATAACAGTTGACCCTAGACTTGAAGAGGTTAAGATTGTAGTGATAGGGTATGTATCTTTTCAGAACTCTTCCACAAAGTACCAGTTCTAGGAAAGGAGCTGTCTGAAAGAATCTTCCTTCTTACTAGTGGAATATGAAAGTGTACTGGAGAATTACCTTAGAGATGAAAGAGGTACATAGCCTAAATTTGCACATAAGACAAGTAAACTGTGAGCGAAGCAAATTGTATGAACATCAGCACTGGAATGACATGGCACATGCATCACTTAGCCAGGCCGAGGCTGGCAGCATGCCCAAGATGCTAATTTTCTGGTTTGGCAAAAACAAATAGAGGAGGTGAGTGTTTGTTGAGATGTAAGTAAGCATTCACACTCAGTGCAGGTCAGATTAGTACACTGAAGTGTGTACTAAAACAGAGTCCCTTGAGAGTGTTGTTCCAGTGTCTGTGCTACAGAAGAAACGGTTTCCTGCTACAAGTAAATTTTGGCCAGGATGCGCTGTTCTGTCCAGGAGGCTGTCTACTAGCACAACACTACACTGAAGAATGACAGCTCATATCTGACCGCATTGGCCAATGCGATCTACCAATATGAATTTCAAGTGAAGTGGAGTGATGCCATGACAACGTCCTCATGTCCTGGCCACAGCCCTTACTAGGTTGGAGATTGCATGTGTGTTAAGGCACTGCTGATTCTATGTATCACAAAGTTCGGCAGGGGCCAGGTGACTAAGATAGTCAGCCCACAGTTAAGTCTGGTGGACAGAATGCCCCACCACATGAAGGATCTGCACCCACACCACAGTGTCACCATATCAGACGAAGACACCAACAGCTCAACTCCAGATCACTGCCAGGCTGCCACTTTTGTGATCAGGAGATCGGGGGGAGTATGCTGGAGAATTACCTCAGAGGTCCAAGAGGGCCAGAGTGGTATAGCCTAAACTTGCGCATAAGACAAGCAAATTGTGAGCGAGGTGAATCATATGAGCATCCGTGCTGGATGACATAGTACATGCGTCACTGAGCTAGACCAAGCCTGGCAGCATGCACAAGATGCTAATTTTCTGGCTTGGCAAAAGGAAATAAAGGAGGCGAGTGTTAGGACGTGAGTAAGCATTTGCGCTCAGAGCAGGTCAGGTAGGTTTGTTGCAGTGTGTACTAAACCAGAGTCCTTTGCGAGTGTTGTTCCAGTGTCTGTGCTACAGAAAGGAATGTGGAGGAGTCAACCTTGTGTACAGAACATGAATTTTGGACTATTTTTCATTATAACTTACCCCAAGCCTTTTCTTGCATGACTCAAGGCTTCAGTGATTAACCTTATAATTATTATACCAGTATATTTAACACAGTTTAACATTAAGCTTTCTAAAATGAAATGAAGAGAAAAAGGAAAAGAAAGATTACCGTAATACAATCATTATTGTCATCTACAGAATTTATTATCCGAATTTCCATGTATTTTTGGGACTGTAACCTAATCTTCATTTTCGTTAACTTTTCAGTCAATTCATTGTTCTTTGGCACTGTTAGATTTATGTTGCAACCATGAATATATTTATTAATTTATATAAAGTTCCTGATTTATTTTTATATCATGACACTTCATCCATTGATGTAAAGTAAATAAAGAAAAAAAAATTACCTTACTAATGATGGGACAAAAAAAATAAAAAATAAAAAAAGAGAAAAAGGTGAGGGGGGGGAACAATTTGTAAGAGTTTGACCAAGGAGAATAGTTTTTTTTTTTTTTAGTAATAAATAAAAAAAAATATGTATACAACGGGCTTCCATAGAACTTCCAATTCAATAAATTCGTCTGCCCTTTTTAACAAATTCTACGGAACATGATAAGTTTAAATTTACTAAATGTCTTTCTCAGTACTAAAATATTGTGTAAAAACAAGTGAACATCAGGACATACTACGTAGTATTTAATTTAGACAATGAACATGGCAAGAAAAATTATCAAAATTAAAATTTAAAATCTAGGGTGCAAATAAAATAAACTAAAAAAATATAATATGAAAAAGTAAATTCTGCAAACTAAACACAATCATAATTTTAAAAAAGTATGATACGTACTATATTCGAGATATGAAAAAAATTAAGGTAGCCCCCCCACAAAAAATGCGAACACACTGAAATTGAATAGATTTCTTTTTCAAAACTCTTGACAGCATTTTTTTTTAACAACTAAGGAAAATAAAAACACGATTTTAAAATCATTTTTAGCTGTTATCTTATTAAAATCCTGCACGAATTAAAAAAAAAAAAAAAAAAGAGAATTTGGTTATGGGAAGACCCGCTTTATCGTAAATTGTTTTGTTCACGAGCCTTTTTAGCGTTTTACTTCCCTCATCAAAATACATTTTTATGCTTAACATTTGTTTAGTTTAAGCAATATAGAAAGGTGATTTATGGGTTCATTTATAAATAGATTTTTTAAAATTCTATTAGTATTCTAGCATTTGCTGAAGAAAAAAAAACATATTTCCATAAAATACAAAAATAAACATTTCGTTTTTAATTTCACGTTAGAATTTTTTTTAAATGTTTATCCTTTCTTGATTTACACACGCATTTTTCAATTCAAACATTCGTTACAAGTGAACAGGAAAATATTAAAATTAAAATATAAAATAAAACAAAGCTGCTGTGTAAAATTCATGTAAGAGATATTTTTTTACTTTAAGAAACCCTGTTTTTACTTTCTTTCCTTTTTAGACATACACGGTGGAATTACTGTTTAGACAGTGTTTAAGTAAACGATTTATTCAAGCATAAAAAAAGTGATAAACACTGACAGTTTTACTTTTAAAAGCTTATATTAACCTTTCTCTATCACATTATAAGATCGTGGAGAGGACTTTTTCTTAAATTATGATTTTATTCTTAAATTTAATTATACATTTCATTTACTCTACTTTTATTTTCCCATTGACTTCGTTCTCTCACTAATTTTACTGAGTTTAAAATTAAAATATAAAGCTTTACGTTTTATGTGTGCTTTCAAATATAATTTACTTGATTTCTCAATCAAGTCCCCGCCTCCCCCAAAATATTCCTACAATATAAATTTCATTTCGTCAGAAAATTTTCATCATTTGGATTTATGAATTGAATAGATTCAAAGGACCAGTATTTACCTCGAACGGTTGTTGCTTCGTTTCGGCATTACACAGTCGCCAGCAGCTTCGGTTGGCTTTAAATATCAAACTCGACAACTGGAACGAAACTAAAAAAAAAAAAAACAGGTCACGTAATTGACATGCTACCAGATCTCTAGATCTTTTTAAACACAAAAATAAAACTTGCATATTTTGCATTATTTAGCAACAAATTTGATTCATCAGATGAATTCCAGGTACTTAGAAAATGTTATTATAAAAATTAAATTTATGCTCACTTAATTCAATTATGGGAATTATTACTGAATTTAAAAAAGACAACGAAAACGACTCTCACAAAAACAACAAATTTTTTATAAAATTTTCCACAAATCTTTTGGCCATGGAAAATTTTTCTTTAAAATCATTACTTCCTGAAACCCAAATAACGTATTTCCAGGTAATATTTCTTAAATGATGATTATTTACAGAGTAAAAGTGAAGAGAAAGTTTTTTTTTATTGATTATTTATTCTTCTTACAAAATCTTTCGCTTTAGGTTTTCGTCAGTCACTTTCTTTTTCAGTTTCCTATTTTCATTTTCGCACGCGCGCAGACGGACACTAACTTCGATAGTTAAAAATACTAAAGTTCTTTCGGACTATTTAGCATCAGGTTTTGGATACCTAAGAACCAAACTGACACTACACAATGCCTGCGTGAGTAAACTGTTAAATAAATGCGGAATCGGGAATATATATTCAAACTTTTCTTTTCAAACGAAACCAACTTATCAGTTTTTAATTTAAATACGTTGAAATCCGAAAGGTTTAAATTACAAAAAAGCTTTTTTAAAAGGATTCTCTCTCTCTCTCTCTCTCTCTCTCTCTCTCTCTCTCTCGCGCGCGCGCGCGTGCATTAAGTTATACTTGAACAATCTGTAGATTAGAATGATTTAAGTTTTACAGCAATACTAACCTTTACTTGGCCAGAAATCCACTGGATTGACTTTCGCATGTTGAAAAGTATTTTATTTTTAATAAAAGTTAAAAGAATATCCCCCACCTTGAAAGAGAAAACGTCACCTCACCTCTGTCATCCCGAATGTTAAAAAAAGGGGCCATACGATAACAAACAAGACTTGAAACTATTACGTGAAATTTGAAAAGTACAAACATTTATTATACATATACATATATAAAACAATGTAACAAAGTACAAATTTATTAAAAAGGCTTGCACAAAAATTTCCTTTCATGCGCCTTATTAAGGACGAGGCAAGATAACGTAACAAAATTATAGAAATAACTGTCCTCAAAAAAGATCTACAAATCTTTGAGAATGCGATACGAAAACTGTTGGAAAAAAGGAGAAATTACTCCCAGAAAAAAAGGCGGTCTACTGGGGCCTTTTGCTTTTCTTTTCTCGCCTGAGTCTCCAAGGAGTTTTACTGTATTGTAAAACGTCTTTTCTCAGGGTAGTTTTTAAGAAAAACCCTTTGCTCAGCTGGCGACTTTCCCACGAGGAAGCCTAAAACCTTTCTGCAGCCAGCTTTGTCTGCTTCATATCTGACGTCCTAGTCCTCCGCTAGCCAACATCCGTCGCATGTGACGTCCAAATCCGTTCCCTTTCTCGGCCAGCAGGCCTCGTCCCTTCTGTGCGACGTATCAATCCTTTCTGCGGCAACCAACCGGTTTCGTCCTTCCTAACTACCTTCTGCCGTACATCCGCTGACCCGTCTCAAATATTCTCTGGGGTGGACCAAATAAGCTTCCACTTTAAATCTACTAGGGTATAAGCCTCTCTAGGAGGCTTTCCTCCCGGATTCTTCTAGAGGGAATGACAGGGGAGTAGAAGAGTTTTTTTTCCCCCATCGGAATGGATGCTGCAGATGTAGTATCTGTTCCGTGTCGGAGGCCTTCTCTCCTCCCTGGCTTTCCCCCCACCGTTGCGTAACATCTGTTACGTAGCAGTGGTATGGCCGGCTATGACTAGATTAGACAAGCTCTGACCAGCTTAGACAAGTTAAAAAGACCAGGTTAGAACAGCGTCCCGAGTGTTTCCACTCGGGTCCCCACGTTAAAAACGACCTTGTGTCACAACCTGACAATGGAGGGGGATAAGGTAAATCTCGGGTATAAGCCACTCTTTTCATTGGGTAATATATTTTTTCCGAACTTGAAAAAAATGAATCCCCAACAATCTACCATGATAGTTATTTCTGGTGGTCCTTTTTAGAGCCAATTCTAAATAATAAAAAAGTAACGTTTACACACAAATGAAACAACATTTAATAAACTGTCTGGCTTTCTTTTAAATACATTTCTCCCAAAAGTAAACGTATAAGACAAACTCAGACTATTTGTCATTTAATTATTCACACTTTTTAATTAATTATCATTTATAACAATATTTTTTTTATAAAGTATGATACCTCATAATGTTGAATATGTATTAACTTGAAGCGAATCCATCAAATATCACCCAGCATAATGAATTCAAATCAATTATTTTAGAGCCAATAAAAAAGTTTTCCAATTAAATCTTCTCATTCGGACTTGAAAGAATTCAGCTGACAATATCCTAAGTTGGTATAGTTTGAAAATGAACACCATTTACTTCGACTCTCAAAAAACAATTTGTTTGAACCTAACGTTGTATAAAGAACAATATCCACTAGTTTAATCAGAATCAAGCTCATTTGTCTCTTCAACGTCGTTCCACTGGTATATTTACCCGGCTTCACCACCAAGGCTGGATGTGACACAAGTCGTTTTAACATGGGAAGCGCCATACCTGCATATGAGCCAAGTATAAAATTTTATTTTTATTATTTTAAAAATGTTATAGTCGTCTAAATATATAATCGTCTAAGTTGTTTTTTTTAATACACGTTTTTTCAGTGAAGTGTATTTTTTTGAAGGCCGGACGGTTTGTATAAAAATTGTTACATTTTTTATGGCCCTTTTGTTTCAAGCGGTTGACCGCCGAAATTATTTGTTGAATTGTCACGGATTTATTTTTCGAATTCTTGGAGAAAGGATTCGTATATATTGGCCAATAAGGGACGATCTCTTGAAGCCCTTGTGAAAACTTGAAGTGAGCCGATATGGCGGTTCTTTTTTTAATAAAAGGAACTGCTATGAGCGGATAAACAGGAGAGAAAGAAGGAACCGTGGACGAGTCGAGAAAGAAAACATTAGCGCCCACGCTTCACGAGGACTGGTCTGGCCGAAGGGAGTCATAAATCAACACGGGTAAAGAAAAATCAGACAGACTCAAGGCAGATTCTACTCCAAAACTGAAATTCATCTCTGTGCCTTCCTGAGATAAATTTAAGCCGAAAGAACTCTCTAGATAACTTTGCGGCAAAATACTTTAAAAAGCCCTCGAAAACACGAAACCCCTTCGAGCTGAGAAGTCCCGTTTGAGTATTCTGTTAAGAACGGAGGTGGGTGCGTTTTGTATTTTCTGCTTTGTGCAATTTGTTTCTTTTAATTCTTCAACGTTTTTTTTTTTTTTCTCTCTTTTTTTTTCATTTTTAAAGGGTGCTATAGTCTTTTTGCCTTTGAATTCGTGTCTTTTTACTAAAAATTGTATTACTTTTTTCCTTATATCTGGGGGTAATCACCTTTTTCTAACCTCAGAAAATTGTTATCCTACCATAATAGGCGCACAAGAGGAAATTTTTGTGCAACCTTTGTGTTTGTATCGTTTTTGTAATATTGTAAAATGAATGTGTTTTTCGTTTTTAAAATTTTACGTAATGGTCGTCTTGTTTCATAATTTCACACCTATTATCATGACTTGCTGTTTCTACCAACTAAGTTTTGTGTCTGACAAAAGGACTTGGAGGGAAATTTAAAAAATTTTATACAAGGATAAAAATTGATTTTTGCCCCGCCGCCGTGACCAAGGTCACGCTGGCATTATTACACCGATCCAACCTTTTTCAGGCGATGAGGAAGATGCTGCTGCAGGGTTGGAATCCACGGGGTTGAGCAGCTTCTCCCATTTAAATGAGGAGAATTATAGCTCCACTTACAACACAGGGACGTTAACCACACACTGGTAAACCCTCATTGGTAATTGTTAATTCCTGTGCCAACGCCGTTACACAGGTACACGCGCGCGCACGCGCACGGACACGCACACACACACAGCGCTTGTATAACTTTCTTTCTCCATCGACTGACTGTAAATTCTTTTCCACTAAGAAGTATCTGTTTCATTTTATGCTGATTTCAAAAACGGAAGTAAAGGACTTTATATTATTTGTTAAAAGCATTATTGCAACTTTATTTGAAACTACAACTTTGCCTTCTCGTTATTTTTCGCGCATATTCTTCTGGATTATTTGAATTTAATTTCAACCTTTTTCTTTAATTCAGCTTTAACAAGGCTATATTTTTATTGGTGGAAGATAATTTATTTGGAGTCAGATATAAGATCTGCAGATTCTGCTGACTGTCTGGTGGAAATTATCCAGCTATTTTGAATATCTTCTTTACTGCACATTTTTTTTGTATTTTATGCTGTTTCTATATCGTATTATTCGGGTCTCTCAAACCGTCCATCTGCAGTCCAGTGTTGGCTCCTGGCGAAGGGAAGAGATTTCAGACTGTTGACATGAGAATGCAATGAGGCTACAGAGATAGCTAAAAAAGAAGCCATAGAAATTTCTACAATTGTAGGCGTACATGACCTCATTCAAAGACGGAATACCACGATTAATAAGAAAGGAGGCTATGTTAATGAGTGGATTTGGAATTTTGACACTTCTGTGATGATCATCATCACACACATGCATACATACATAAATTCAAATTATACAGCAACAAGCATTCATTGGATACTAAATCAACACGACTGTGTAATGGCCAATTTATAAATCGCAGCTATGCGACAATTTTATAATCGCTATATTTTCATGTAGTCGATTTCGTGCACTTTTGGGAGAATCGGATCCCAGAAGCTTTCGTGTGTCTCCTCAAAGCTCGATCGCTGATTGGTCAATGCCAACCGATCAGATTATCTGCACGTAAAGAATGATTCTTCCCGCACAGCGCTTCGGAGCCGATGATCACCTATAAAAGCAAGAAATAATCTTAGATAATTAGTGAGATTTTAGCTGCCAAACGAATCCACGACAGTTGAAACCATGCGCCAATCTTCTCACTCACACCACCATTCACATGCTGAATATTCCCTACACTCACATAATCTTTTTCCTTACACAGCAAATCTGTTGAAAACATTTATTTCCAGAAGCTATCACAACCTTCTTTCTTTCAGTGAACTTTGGAACACAATAGTTAAAGAGAGACAACTCTTGTTTTACTCAATGCATGTCTTTCTTTAACATCCTTGTTTGTACATCTTGTTAAATACAAATTTTATGTTTAATAATGTCTTTGGCTTATCCTTTTTTCTTCACGTCAGTTTGCTTTCCTAATCTAAGTTAAATTAATGTGGTGAAGTCCGCCACACTTCTCTGTTCGTTTAGTATGCTTTGTGTGATTTTATTATTAAATCTGTTGCTATCCCTGTTTTTTTTTATCTCATTAAACAGTAAACAACCGGACTAATATTTAGAAGTCTAACTAAAGAAAAATGTAGATCCGACAGTTTAGACCGGTTGCTATTGATTTCATTAAAATTAAAAACAGATAGCAACATAAATACGTGTACCCATTAAAAATAACGTTTTATAGTAATAAGAAACAATATTGGATTTTAAAAATCTTTTCACATATACACACACGTACGACCCACTTCCTAAATCTGAATAACTGTTAATGTTCCCAAATAAGAAAACCTTACAGCAATCATAGCAACATCTGCAACCTTTGTCAACAAGAAAAATTAGCTATAATAACATTTCCAGACCCCCCAAAAAACACTTTTGAATCACATTTGGAAATTATATCCTGTTGTATATATACTAAAAAGTTCCTTTTAAGTTCATATGAAATGGGATGAAAAGAAATTATGTATATTTCATTTAATCCGCCACCGATACATTTCCAATACACTTGATTTCCCCTCCTCCTCCTCACCTTCTACCACACCTCACGCTTATTCATTTATTCATTTTAAAATATAGCGTTCATGAATTTTAAAAAAATAAAGCGTTAGTAAGTCAATTGACCGAAATCGCCTGAAGATACCAAAAGGTTGAAACCAAGGTAGCGGAATGTGCTGATCTCCTAATTTATATATATATATATATATATTAGAGAGAGAGAGAGAGAGGGAGAGAGAGAGAGAGAGAGAGAGATATCAAACCTGCATTAACTTTATCCTGTTAAACCACCGTTTAGCCAGGCATACATTTAAGGATGCTACGTTGTTATCAGTTATGGATGAGTTATCTTACGACAACGTCTGTTCCCACCACATATTGGTATAATTATTCGGGTGTATATTGGTCTTGTGTACTGATTAAAATATAATGCACAAAGTTTCGATAAATACAAAATAAATCTTAATATGCACAATATACATGTATATCGAAATCTCCTTCTAACACAAGAAAATATCCCTCTTCAACAAATGAGTCAACGCCGTTACAAACTGATGAAACCTGTTATAAACGTTTAGTGACAGGGCTTTTAGTCAATAATGAGATTGCAGGCAACGTATAAAGTTTCGATATTTTTGGACAGAATAGTTTGGATATAAATAGGATGAGGCTAAAGATTCGTCCTAAAAATAATCCAAATATAGGCATCAAATTTGAAATGTTCACATGTGAAAATTGAAGAGTTTTATGTTGACATCAGTAGCGTTACATTGATGAAAAGTAAATAAACGACGCCATGTTGATGGACAACTTCAATGCAATAGTCTTCTTTTATGCACCAAGTCCTTTCAGGACGTGAACGCTTTAAATAACAACGCTTTAAAATGATTCAGTCATTCATACGTGATACACGTTTGGGCGACCATATCTCCTCCGATTCAAGACTGACTAGGCAGAATATTTTCCCGCAGTAGGTTGCCATTTTTTCTGTGGTAGACTCGTTGCAGACCAAGGCTATATGGCCCAGTCTGTTCTGCTATTCAACCCATAGCTGAGAGGGAGAAGAGATGGATTCATACCCTTTCCCAAGGGTATATGCGCGTAAGTGAATGTAACGAACCCGACTGAAATTCGAACTCTGATCTTTGATTTCTCATTCCGAACCGATATCCATTACACCACAGCTAAATGATTACACAAGCTTTATTGGTTATCACTCCTTTTTTTAAGGTAGCATGGGTGATAGGCGGAGGTGAATGTATGAGAAAGACGGAGAAGTTAACACCCACTGAGGGGATTGATATGAGATACCAATGTGAGAGAGGAAGAGTCTGGGAGGATAACTCTCCTCCGACCTTCCCTCACGGACGAGGGAGAAACCCCCGCACTGGAAAAAGATTAGTCTTTCCAAAATGGGAAGTAATTAATTTTCCTGGCCTAAGAACAGAGAATTCCTGTTAGGAATAAAGAATTGTCAAAGAACCCAAACCAGGACAGGCCCCCACATCGGAGTTGGTCGGTGTCCATATAAACAAACGTCTCGAGGCAGCTGATCAGTTTGATCAGTTTCAGTAAGAAATTTGTTGAGAGTCACTCTCAACAAATTTCTGTTTTTTGTTGCTCTAAATAACTTCTAAACTTACCATTTCGCTGTCACTGTTTTGCCATTCATTTTTTCAAAAAAAAAATCGTTAAGTCTTTATTACCCAATTACGAAAAAAGTACAAATACAAAATTTACACAAAAATTTCCTTTTGTGCACCTATTGACGTAGGATAACAATTTCTGATATAAAAAAAAAAGATTACCATCGAAAAAAGGAAAAGTACAGTTTGGGAAAACAAGGATTTCGAAAATGACAAAAAGAAAAAACAATTCAAGAAGACAGAAAACAAAGGTGCAACCACTTTTAAGAAAAACATAAATCACCTTCTTTACTTGACCCACGTGCGTCTCTGGGACACATAGTAATTTTAGAAAAGTCCCTTTCAAATTCACAGTTCGTGCTTGAGAAAATTCTTTTCGTTCTTCATTGTCCAATCGCAGAAGAATTTTCACTTGAACTTCAAAATTCTTTAGTCTCTCTGCAACTGGCTTGTGACCTTATGCCATCTTGCTACTCTCTTCTTGATGTCAAATGTCTTCTGCTCCTTGATGTTGATTTGCCTTGTGCTCTTACTGTCAAAATGTCTTCTCCCATCGTCCATTGGCCTGAGCTCT